GTAATAAATGCAGGACGCGCATAATTAGTGTTAATTATTGAATTAATGCACTCGCTATTGTAGTTTCATCGCCATCCCCATTCCATCTGTGCTGTCCGTTCCAATTTCAGATTTGCGATTTACATTTTTTATTTTTCATCAGTAAATATAATAAATTTAACATGCGCTGCGTATATGTTTTAATTATGCCTTTAAGTGATTTACATTGATATTTCGCGCCCAAGCGAGATTTTCAGCACATGGTAAATGCATGTACACACATCTGTGTATAAAAACAGAATAGCAAAGACTAATGAGCTGCACTTCAGGCTGAATCGGAATGCGCCAAATGAATTGATTGCTCCAGTAAGTGGAGTTCGAATGGTACAAGTATTCATGGAAGCTATGGAAGCTTTAAATATCCACTCAATCGTAAGTGCATGATGATGCAGCTTTAAATGATGCTGCAGCTTGATGCATTTATTTAAAAATTCAATATACTATTCTGCATCCATTATTATCTCTACTCCAAGAGATTCAGTTTCATCTAGCTTCCTTGAGGTAGGTGCACGTTAATTCCATTTGCTACCATTTTAATGGAAGTAATGAGTCGAACAAATGTATCGAAATACTAACCAAAACTAACTGGACTAATTGGAACGTTTGTTTGCAATGCCAAGGGATATCTACTACAGCATTGTGTTGGCTTATCCATCCACCCAGCCACCCCGCAAAACCCAACCGAGAAGCAATTCCTCAGAAATTACCTGCGAATAAAAATATAATACCATCGAAAATTAGAGGACAAACCACTTTGTAAGCACCGCAATCGGTTGCCATGGCTGTCTCTGTCTCTGTCTCTGGCTCAGTCTCTGTCTGTGCATTGGTCTGTCTCTTTCACACCCAAGAAACCTCTCAACTTTATTTATTAAAAGTGCTTATTACTTTAACACTTGAGCGCGATTTAACACGATTTGCTCAAGTATTTTCGTACGACAACGAGGACACATTCCTCCTTGACTCTGCCGGGGCCGGGGCAGGCGAGTGTCAAGGTATGTCGCTGTCTGAAGCTGTCGGTCTGTCCTGCTGGTACTGCTGCTGCTGCTGCTCGAGTGTCCTGTGCTGCCTCGCTCCCCCTTTCCATCCGCCTTCTGCTCAGGATCCTTGAGTATTTAGCTTACCTACCAGACACCAAAAGCAGTTTCATCTTTTTCATGTGCAGGAGCAAGAGCAGGACCCTGCCAAGGAAGCTGCTTCATCATTTTTACTCTTTTACGTGCCTCCCACCCACACAGTCACAGGCACAGACACAGGCACAGACACAGACCCAGACACAGTTGTCCTTGTTGGCTCAGTGCGAGGTGGGTCCTTGCTTGCTCTTCAACGCCTGACTGTTGGCTGTAGATCGACTTGACTGCCGCCTCTTGGCCTGCCCTGCCCTGCCCTGCCCTGCCCCGCCATGCACTGCTACGAGAATCATTGCCAGCATTTTGTTTGGGTTTTCTGACTGGGGCCTGCCCCTAATATTGCCCTTGACTGTTGTCAACATGTTCAACGTATTTGTTGTTTCAGTTGTTCTTCCTGCTCGGCAGATCCTGCTCCAGCTCATGCTCCCGCTGTTGGCCTTTAAGTGTGTTGATTTCATACAATTAACTTTTTGTCCGTTTGTTTTGTACGTCTTCGGATTCTGCTGGCATTCGCCATACACGTAATTTCCTGCTCCGCTCCGTTTTCGGGGGAGAAAGCCACTGACATCGTTTGACAGCCACGTGAGTTTAAAGAAGCCGCAGGAAAAGCTGAGTAGAGCCGGGCCGAGGCGAGTCGAGGCGAGGCGAGGCGAGGCAAGAAAAGCAGACGCTCGACGTGGCGTATACGCAACGTGAATTGTTTTTTCCTGCCAAAGCATGCCGCTAAAATTTAATATTTATTTTTATGTTTTTTGATTTAATTTTTCTCTCTTCCGACCTTTTATGTGTGTGCATGTGCGTGTGCGTGTGTCTGTTGGTGTTCGCCGCAGTCATGCGGGTTTTTTAAGGGGTTTCTGCGTTTTGCTGCTCTGGGGATTTATGAAAAAGTTAGTTTTTCTTGTTATTTTTACTGTTCAGGTAATTTTTATATTTATTTTTATTTTGTCACGGGACGCGTTAGCTTCACGTTTTATATTTTTCACTCCTCTTTCTTTTTTTACGATTTCGAGCGCAAGTGCGTGTGTTCCTGCCTATGCGACTGCGGCTGTGTGACATGCCATTTGTTTTAATTTACCCGACGTACGCAAGCGAATTGTTTTAATTTATTTGGCATTAAGTCGAAGGCATTAAAGCCACCGGATCGCAGCAAATTCGAACATTTCCAGTCACGATTCAATTGAAATCGGACTGGAACGTACACATTTTCTGGCTATTCCGACAAATCTTTGCTAATTTATCGCATTTGCATAGATTCTTCTTCCCCCAAAAATGCCATAAAAAGCAGATCTATAGAGTATCTTCTTGGTGATTAATGCATCATAATTAGAATTTTGGGTCTGAGTACGTGCATAATTCCACGTGGCAGCCCCATAAATCATTCCCCTGTACGAGTATCCTATCGGTAAGTATCTCGGTGTGTGTGGGGTGTGTGTGTGTGTGTCGTAATCTAACCACCAAATTTGGCTGTCTGTCAAAGACACTTAACTTTTGTGCTGGCAGGTTCAGCTCCGAACCGTTTTGGCAAGTGTCAGCGGCAGCAAAGACACACCACGACACACCGCACAGATACCCTTGGAAACGCACACTGGCAGAGAGAGAGAGTGAGAGAGAGAGAGTGAGAGAGAGCCAAAATAAATGTGTTTTGCGTGCGCTTAAGTGCTCATTAATTTGGAATGTCAAACTACGAGTATGTTGACTAACGCAAATGCTCCACGTTTAATCGTTTCGAAAGGGACCTCGTTGCGGGCTTGATGAGTAGTCGGAGTAGTCGGAGCAGTCGGGAGTGCTAGTGCTTCCTGCCAGGCCATGGCGCATCTCCGTCAAATTGATTTAGAAGAGCTTCATAAAAGCAGGCAGCCTGTAGCCTGGTCAACAACATTCAACCTGCCTCACAGATGGGTGGATGGTCGGCTACAGGAATGCCCGGAGAACTGCCAACCGAAAGGCATTTAAACTGAGATATTTGCAAATGTTGCTGCTAAAGTCTCCCCCAGTCAGGTACTCCTATTGTTGGCTTAATCTCCAGCCTGAATTGGGAGGAAAATGCGGTCGGCCCAAAAAAGATTCGAGCACCCCCAGTAATGTGCATCTAGAGGCTGGCCGACGTGCCTACCTTGCGGTCAGTTGTTGCACGTTGCACGTTGCTCGTTGCTTGGCTGGGAGACGTTCGGCTTGGCTTGTATTGGCCTGCTAATTGAAATTCCAACACACAAGGGTTAGCTGTGTTCCGGGGATCCGGAATCCGTTCAGCGAAGCCGAGGAACAGAACAGAAGAACTGTTTGTTCCAATGGAGGGAGAGTAGCTCCCAACTGAAGATAATTAAAGTTTATAAATTAAATCGTGCATAGATTTACGGGCTACTTCTTTTGATATCCTTTGGTCTGGCGAAGCTCATGTTACATTCCATTTAATTATACAAATGTAAAGAAAAGTAAGAAGACCGTGTTGGAAACGCTCCTTTCAGCGGGTGAAATGCATACCAAAGGCACCTAGGAGTATCAGCTGTAATTATTTTGTACAGCAAGGGAACTAAGCTAAAGACTGCGTTTATTTTAATACTCCTAAATATGTAAGTACTTCATCGCGTCTGTTGCATCAACATGGGGCATAACTTATCTCCACAAAAACCATTTTCTCCACTCCTACGAGTGTTTGTGCGAAAAGCAGTTGGCATTCCATCATTAGGAATTAAGTAAAAGTCAGTGGCGGAAGTTAAGTACTTGTCAAGTGATGAGCATGCCAACGGGTAGCGAGGCTGGATGGAGTTCTTTGCAAGGCCAAAAGTTCCCAGAGTATGCGGGTTACAGCGAATTCCTCGCCCTTCGTTCCCTTCCTTTCCTTCGCTGTTTTTTTTTTTTTTTTATTTTATTCATTCTTCCTTCTGATTCTGCTGCTGCTGCATCCTTAAATATTTTCCCTTTAATTAAAATTTCAACAAGCCAGACTGGGCGGCAGGGAGGAGTGCAGACATGCCCGCATAAATTAACTTTTGCGTAGGTGAGCTGTGTGTACGAGTATGCCGTGTGGCATGTGGAGTTGGGCTTGGGAGCTTGGGAGCCTGGGAGTTGTAAGGGGAGCGTTGTAAGCCTGGCGTAAGTGCCTTATCTTAATGCCCGCCATATCTGGCCTAATGCATATAATAGGCCAGGCCTGCTATTTAAAGTCTAACAACCCTTTTTATATGCAAATTGTTGCGCCCCACGTACACGCCTTAACGCCCACGCCCACGCCCCTGCCCCTGCCCCGCACCGCCTGACAGACTGCGTTGCCCTGGCCCTTCCCGTTTCCCCTTCCGGGTCCCGTGGCAACTTGACATTTTTTCTAGATACGACCCAGCACTGTGAGAGGAAGTCTCTCCCTTTTTTTAATTCTCCCTCATTTAAACATTTTGTGAAAAATGCATGTGTGTGTATGTGTGTGGGCGAGTTTTTCTTCTCCCCGGGCCTGTATGCGTGAATTCTCGTAACGCTTTCAACTTTTTACACGACTACAACTACCACTACAACTACAGCTACAACATGGCCTCTCTTCAGTGTCTCTGTGTGTGAAAAATGTTAAAATAATTTGCAATTTAAATAGTTTTAATTAACTTTCACTAATTTGCTGTCGCTCAACCTACACAAGTTGGCAAACTAATTTTAAAGTGATTTATTATTTAAACAGCTTGATGATTGGCAGCGCCCAAAAAAGAGACGATTACAACCCACAACCTGCAACCTACAGCCGAACTGCCAGCGGCCTAATTAGGTAAAGGTAAAGGTGCCGGAGTCTCCGGGAATTGCCCTGCGGTCTGCTCTTTGACAGCGTGCAAATGGTGTAAAAATGGCAAATGGTTCTGGCAGCATGCCCAGGAAACGAAGCTAGTTCAATTTATTGCCAAACTTCAATTAAACTGCGCTCAGATATAGAACAGAACGCCGAATCCTATCGCCGATTCGGGCCCTCGTCGTGCGTCCAGAACCCCGTCGCAATACAGCCGCCGCCGCCATAGCACAGTTTGTGATGATGCCTCCGCACTAGGTACAGTCCCGGCAGCATCAGAAGCAGGATGATCAGCAGCATGACGCCGATTGTGAGCATTTCCCAGTCTAGGCTTGCATAGAATCTATTCATATGGAGGGATAGCATCAAGCGCGCTCCACACTCACCGCTGCCCCCTGGCCAGGATGCCACACTCGGTCGCGGTCTCCGTCTCACTCTGGTTCTGGCAGCAGGGATGCTGCTGGCAGATGCAGCTGGATTCCGCGGGATCCATTTCAACTTTCAATGATATCGGTCACATGAATTTTGAATTTTGAATTTGGAATTTGGAATAAATTTAAATTTCTACATATTTTATTGGGGACTTTTGCTTGGCATGGTTGTCAGAAAAACCGAGCAACTGATCGATCGACAGGCTGGCTATGTACTAGTATGTGTATTTGGGTTTGATGCGCATTTTATTCCGTGCGATTGGTTTTGCAATCTTAAGTAAATTGTGCTTAACTAGTATTTGAGTCGGGCAAATGCTTGGCTTATCGGGCCATTCAAGTCTGGGCCAAATTAATAAAATTATGCAAATTTAAAAGCTGGGCCATAAATCATGGCTTCGAAATGGCCCAAAGGCAAATAATGGCAACGTCATTAGATAAATTTATCTCGAATGCCGAACAAATTGAAAAAAAAGAACAACTGACAACAAAATGGCAAACAGAAGAGGAAAATCAATATTTGAAACCGAAAATGTACAGTAATCAGCATAATATGGGAAACCGCCATTAAAATCATTATGTACCACGTTTAATGCCTATTTATGGGTGATTTCAATTTAAGTAGCACCCACACCCAGCCCCAGACCCAGACCCAGATCCCCGTTCCAGAGACTGGCGGGAAAATGCGAAAACAAATACCGAATGGTACTACGGAATAACAGAATAACGGAAAACGGAATACGGAATACGGAAAACCTGCTGGCGTTAATTTTCAATAAAAAGCTGCTCCGCGAAAAGTAATTAACAACAAATTACGGAACCGTAGCGAACAACAACAGCCGCAACCAACACACTTAAAGCTAATTAAATTTGGCTCTCTCCCGCCCCCCTTCCACAACGGGAGCCACATCGCAACAGCTGGAGGCGGCAGAGTTGCCACCATGCGCCACAACTAATAAATAAATAGAAGTGATCAAAACTTTTTGGTATTCATTTGGAAGAAATCAAATAAATTAACCGCTGACCCACAGCCAACAGCCAACAGCCAACATCCAACATACAATTTCCAGGCCCAACCTAATTGATTTGCCAATAAAATTCACAAGACTTCAACAACAGCCTCAAAAAAGGAACCCTCAGCCACATGGAGGAGGCGCAGCCTGTAATTTGTAACTGGCCAACTGCAAGACCCCAAGTAATTGACGCCACCGAAAGGCACACAGGGTCCACGCTCACACACACATATGGACATTAATTACCGCAAAGTAAAGGAACCAACGACCACGACCACGGGCAGGGGCACAGGCAGGGGCACGGGCACGGGCACGGCGAGAATCAGAACCAGAACCAGAACCAGGACGACGAGAGCTGAAAACCATTGGAGCCAAGCGAAGCGAAACTAATGTGCAACGGCATGTAGAAATGTCATTTCTGTGCAATTTTTGTTGCTCCAGTAAATTATTTTTTCAATTTTTCCCATTAGAGAAACCGCATCAAAGCAGCCGCAACACCAGCGCCCACCACGGATGACCACTTCAACGGGACAAACCGAACCTTTAATCAGTGTCAGTGCTGCACATGCAAATGGAGTCCTAGTAATTGAAGGTATGTACATACATATATATTCGTATCTTTCTTCATTAATAGAGCTACTAAGCATCGTATTGTTGATGAAAATCGTAGGATAAGTTTGCAATGTTCCGCAGTAGTCTGGCATCATTGGTTAGACAAAATAGAAGGTTTCCTGCTGCTGTGCTCTCATACAAAAGTTGTGCAAAGTGTTGTGCCCTCTCGCTGAAATGGAATAACAAAACACAACAAAGGCAAAGACAAACAAAAAAACAGCAACGGCAAAGGCAATGGCACTGGCACTGGCAAAAAGTATCAACAAATCAGCAGTGCATTGGTGCAGTGCCGACCATGTGAATGCCTCAATGGCGCCCCACAGCGCAAATCGCAATCATATTAAAAGCAGAGCCGGAGCGCCAAACATTTGATGCCAAAACAGAGCGCTAACGCGCGGACAGAACATGTGGCATGTGGCGCGGACAGGCATTCAAATGGGGCTGGCTGCTGCGGCAGAGCGATCCCCAACCTAAACTAATCATGGCTACCCATCAACTGTGTGTGCGGGGTGGGGAGGGGCGAGAGCGAGGGAAAAAAACCCCAAAAACCGTAACACTTTGCCAGGCATTTGCATTTTCCCGGGAAGAGGGTTGAATCAACAGAGGAGCCACAGGGGGAGAGAGAGAGAGAGCCAGAAAAGGGGCTGCCTCAAAGCGAATGCTGCCAAATGCTAATTTCCTGGCTGAAAACTTTTTTGGTCATTTGCTTTATTAACGAAAAAAGAGCCAGCAAAAGTCGGCCAGAGCTTAACCCACTGGAGCCAAAACATAAGTGCACTAATCATGGTGATCATTTGGAATCATTAGGAGATCGGTTGGAGATGGGAAATACAGCTTGACAGTTCGTCATGGGTTCCCTGGCTACTGCCTGGACACTGCCCCACTAGAGGGTTAAGTGAAATGCTTAAGTTTGAATTTGATTTCAAAGACGCAGGATGTGGTACTAGGTGCACTCCCCACTCCGCATTTCGACCCAGCATTGCGTACGTATAACTCGTTAATGGCGAAAGTTTCTGCTGCTGACAGTATCAGAGATGTAGATTGGACCCGACCCAGCCTCCTCCGACATGATCTGACAAAACCCAAACAAGCCTGATATATCTGCTTATGCAAGGGTTAAGTAACGCATTTATCAGGCTGGGATTGCGAAAGATGGCCACACAAGGCATGTCCATCATGATGATCATAATCGTAATGATAATTTGCTGCATACGCAACAAAAATTAATTGCGCCCACATGCAACAGGAATCCAACGAAAGCCCGGCCACAACTGGGAAACTTGGGCAATCGCATTCACACATTCTCATGCGGAGACAATTGAAACTTTTTGTACAAGACGAGGAGTGTAGGAGCAGGACGACGACTACGACTACGACTACGACGACGTCGACAATTCTGTTCTCATTCACATTTGAGGACATGGGCTTTGCTTTTCTTTTTGGTCCGTCCAGAGCTTGACATGCGTTGGCCCGACCCTATCCTCATCCTACTAGCCATTCAGCTTTGTGTCCTTATGTGCCGAAGCATGAGTACATATAAGTTGGCCAAGCTGCTGGCCTGCTTGTGGTCGGCTTGCCTGCCAGCCATATACCCATCCATTCATTCATTTTGACATGGCAGCTGCCTGGTCAGCCACCCCTCCCACTCCCACTCCCATATCCCATTTGCCAGCCCATTTGCCCATCCGACCATCAGAGGACCTCTTGTTGTGCACGCCTTGCTTGCGGTCCCCTACATCGGACGAGAGCGGGCAAAATGCAACAGCTTCGACATGGTGGGAGTTGCAAGAGTGCAGCTGAGTGGCAAGACAAAGCTCGAGTCCTCGGCGGAGTTGGAGTTGGAGTTGGAGTCGGAGTCAGAGTCGGAATCGGAGTCAGTTGAGTGCCTTTGTTGCGGTTCATTCAGTTGTATATGGTTGGTTATACGGCCAAATGTCGCTACCCTGGTTCGCCCCGTTCCTGGCTCGCCTTCTTGTGGCTGTCGCATTCTTCAATGTCTCCCTTTAGTAGCGACATGGGCTTCATACTTTGTATTGAAAAGTTTTCTCGCGCGACTGACAGCAGCTGAATGCAGGCGAAGACTGCCTTTTCTTTCCGCACATACATAGGAGTATGTACATTTATATACTTGGGACTTGGGAAAACTTTTGTTAGGCCATAACCCAGCAGGCAAGTGGGTCTTCGTTTGATTTTCGATCACTCGCCAAACATTCATCTCACCAAATTGGGTATCACAGACTCTTTGGAGCTGTTCTGTAAGTTACTCTCCTCAACTACTTGTTGGCCTCTAATCAAAGATTGCCAAGGACTCTGTTCGGAGTTCGGTTGCGAACAACTTTCTGTTATTTTTATGTTAACCTTAATGTTTATCCCACTGGAAACTATGAAAATTCTTTGCTTAATTTGCCCACAGAATGCTTGCTGGGTTCACTTTTTGTCCACGGCAGTCAATGTGCTTCTTTCCCACTATGGTCCCGCCATGGGTATGTGTTTGGGCATTGTCCTGGTTGCCATTGTTTAATGGTCACATTAAAAATGCCTCATTGTTGGCTCTGTCGTCGTTGTCAACTTCTGACCGCGCCCTTTGCACAGTATTTTCCCCTGCATTTTCCCTCCCTCGTATTCGGCTTCTCTTCGCTTCATCGCCCCATCGCCTCATCGCCTCATTGCAACTTCTTCTTGTGGCACGGCGCAGGAAAGTATGCAATACAAAATGCATGCTGGCGGCAATGGACTTTTTAGTGCCTTTCATTGGATAGTGCTGCTACATCCACTGCTGCACTTCTGTTGACTCTCGCGCTCCCAAATGAATGTGTGTGCTGCGCTGCACGTGAGTATATTAGCTGAAAATTTAAGGCGAGCACGTATGTGTGCTCTGCTGCTCCTGCTGCTGCTCCTGCATAGTGGGCTTTTACAGCAAACAAAACATCTTTTGTAGCCATCGACTTTCGGTGGACTCTGCGGCAGCCGCCACAGCCTCGAATGGGGCAGCGGCAGTGGCAGCGGTAGCGTCCTTCATGTGAACACAATTCCGAAAGGCAACAAGGTGCTGCACTATCCTCCGTCCCTGCGGTATTTGAAAGAGCTTATTATGGCAGATGCCTCGCCACCCCCTCCTAAGCACGCCCATACATACTCTGATTGGGTGCTGAAAAATGGGAGAGTTGCAGGAAGGCAGGGAGGAAGCTTATTTGAGTTGTTAACTGATGAGGGCGTGACTCTATTGGGTCTTCTGCTGGTTTGTTGTGTGAGTGTATGCTGCTGATAATTGAAAATAAAACTGGAAACTGGCTGATACAAGCATATACGTTTACTGATAAAAGTATAGAAAAATCGCACATGAAAGGAAAAAATCTATTAGCCTGAATTAGTTCCAAAAGATCCCCGAAGCGCAATTAGTTGCTGATAAAATTGTCAAAGTTTTTCAAAATTTAGGCACAATAATATTTATGCTCATTCCAGAAAATGGCTCGAAGACCACAAATCACGCAGCTAGCCGGAAACGGCATTAAAATAAAACATTAACATCACCAAACGTTGCGTCGCCCCCACAAAAATGTGATTAATTTAAAGGAGTGGGTGCAGGGCGTTGGTGGCTGGGTGGAACACGAGGGAGAGTCTCCTTCTAATACAAATCACGAGTAATAGCATTGTAATAAAAACAAATTTCCCCAAACGTTTGGCCTAATTGTACAATGGACAAAAAATGGAAAAACTGAACAACACCAACTGAAAACCAACCGACAAAAATGTTCTTGTGGGGGCGTGGACCTCTGGCTGGGACTGTTGCTTGCTCGGGTGACCACCGTGACACAGAAAATTTCACAGCACTGCCGAAAGCACTGAAATCCACACAAATTGTTCTGCCCAAGGAGCCCAAGGAGCCCGAGGAGCCCAAGTTGCATGTGAGTGGCGCATAAGCAGGAGTTGCTCTGCCAAGGTGCTGCACGATGGTGGATGTTGACGTTGACGTTGACGTCGTTGACTAAGTCGACGACAAAATACACGAATATAAACCCGTACACACGTACAGTAACACGGCCACTACTACAACAATACAAACACGATAAGCCAAAAGTGCGATTTCCTCCCCCCTTTGGACGCTGTCCCCCCGCGTGTTAATGTGGGCGTGAGGCGTGTGGGGGTAGGGGCAAGGGTAAGGGTACTGTGGTGCAGTGGCTCGAAATGTGAAAGAAACCAGTTTTTGCTGTACCTCATTCCATTTTAATCGCTCTCCGTGCATTTCTAATTTTGTTTTAAACATTACTTAGTGCAGCCCCCAACCCCCAAATAATCAAACTGAAACTTCATATTTCTACACTATATAATTGTTGCATTTTATATAAAAAAATAGTCCAACAAGGTTATCTCAGCTAAGTCTAACATTTGGCGACTTAATCGCTACGTTTACGCAAAACAAATTTCAAAACTTTTATTATGAAGAATATCATGGTAATTGTTTAGGAAAAGGGGCAGATGCTAATGCTACCCACGCTATAAAAACATATCTCAGGTATTCGTTCCCAAAATTTAATTAAAATCTTACTTCAATAAAACAATTTTTAATTAATTTGATTATTTTTTATGGTTAAAAAAATTTAAAACCTATGAATTAATATTTATTTATTTCATGGTATATCCCAGCGCTACAAGTTTAAACTTATTAAAAGTCACCTTCAATTGATAATTCATACAGAAAGTTATTTAATTAAGGCTAACACTTTTATATTAAAATTTTAGAAAATTTACAGTATAGTGCTGCTAGTTTAGATATTTTTTTAAATTATATTTCTTTTTTAAATGTATTTATTAATAATATTTTGATCGACTTCTCAACAATTCTTTCATTGGAAAATAAAATTAATTGGCATACCCAATTGATTTGAGGTTGTGCTGAGTCGCTGATCAAGGGGTAAAGAGTAAAGGTGCCTTTTGAAAGAGTAAAGCCAAGATCAGGGCAGGCAACCAATACGGGCTTAGGATATACCACCTATAGAAATTCCTCGATAGCCAACAAAAGCTTCTACCGCAAGCACAACAATTAGAGAGGAGAAAGATCCCTTTGGCCATGCCACTGGCTGAGGTAATAAGTGGTGCAATGAGAGGGCACAAAACTCTGAAAGGTGAAAAAGCCAAACGGCTAAGAGAACCTAACGAATGGCCTCCATGCCACGCCAGACCATAGTTTTCTCCCTGTGCAGGTGTGTGTGTGTGTGAGTGGGGTGGTGTGGTGTGGTGTGGGGTGGGGTATGGGCTTGGCTTTGCCTGCGGTTTGTACGAGTTTAAGCAGCGCACAATTAGATGAGACGAGGCTGAGAAGGAGAAGGAGAAGTAGAAGTAGAAGTGGAAGGAGAAGTATAAGTAGAAGTAGAAGGAACCGATAAGGGGCAGCACGGCAGCGGCATTAGCCCCATAAGTCAGTCACTCACCCATACACATGCACATACACTGAGGAGAAGTGAACGTGTAATTCGAAGCGCGAGGACTTCCAGGAGTAGGGGCCTCTGCTGGCGTTCTGTGGGAAAATTGGCTGCGTCGACGACGAGTTTAGAGTGGACACAGACGGCAGCAGGTCGCAGCAGCAGAAGGCAGAAGGCAGACGGCAGTGGAGCCCGAGGAAGCACAACAGAGGCACATGAAACACAATTCAAAAACACTTTGACCGGCAAAGTTGCCACACGGAATTTCTTCTTGTGCAACGTCGAGGAGCGAAAGAAAAAGCAGCGAAAGGAGCAAAGTTTCGCACTTTTGTTTTGGCCAACTTTTCTTTGGGATATGTTTTAATAAACTTTCCATCGAGTTCATTAAATTTGATTCAAGTAAATGTGTTTGTCTTTCGGTCAGTACCCTCCTGCTGCTGTTCCTGTTCCTGCTCCAGCTCCAGCTCCTGCTCCACTCCGCTCTTCCCTGTGTCCCCGGAAGAGAGTGTGCCTTAAACAAGTTGAGACAATTGCGACTGATTGATAGTCAATTAGTGGAAGTGGATGCTGATGCTGATGCCGGTCTCCTTCTCCTTATCCGCCGCACCCCACTGCCACTGTTGCAAGTGGCAAGAGCAACAACTGTTTGTGCATAAATAACCCAAAACAACAAGCAACAACAACCGCCAGACCAAAGTGTCATTAACCTAATTGCCGCAAAAGAAGCTACAGAGGAGCTACAGAGGAGCCCAAGCGGAGAAGCCCAAAAAGGGGAAAAAAATCTACGGCCATAAAACAACTTGCAACGTGTTGCAATAAAGCCGAATTTGCATAAAGCAGGTAAAACTCAAACCCACAAAATGGTAAAAAAAAAAACAAAACAAAACGAATTCTCCCGCTGCCAGTAAATATTTATTTTTTGTTGCAATTGTAAAATACACGAGAAATTCCAATGCAGTGGAGTGTCTGTGTGAATGGGTGTGTGCCTGTGTGGCTTTGTGCGAGTGTGTGCGAGGATTGGTCAAAGACACAAGAGACCTATGCCACTTAAGTCCGGGCCAGGACTTGGGCCGTCTGCCGTCTACCGTCCGCCGTCTGCCGTCTGCAATTTTTCGGCTCTTGCAACTCTTGCTGTGCCTTGCATTCGTCGAGGGCCCCTCTCCACTTGTGGCAGAGCTGGGTTGCATAAAGCAGAGCCGGGCAAATAATACGCGATATTTTCGGCCTCTCCACTGCAGTCCGATAACGCCCCAGCCCCGGCCCCGGCCCCTGCCCGACCCGGAGCCGGAGCCGGAGCCGGAGCCCGGAGCCCAGAGCCCGGAGAAGTGTGAATGTTTGTAGTGTGCTCGCCAAATGGTTGAGTGGGGCTCTTTGGTCTGTTTACTGGGACAAAGGAACTGGTAGAGTGCTCGCCGGACAGGCCCATTGAATCGTGCTCTGGCATGGAGACGAACGGAACGGTCGGCGGTGGGCGTTGGGCGTTGGGCGGTAGGAGACGGGACTCTGAAGGGCCTCTGGGCAATGGAGAGCATTGGACACATTGCATTGAGAGTTCCGGTCATATCGATGGCAGAGGGGCTGGCTACAGACGTGGTTAGCATTTGATAGTTCTGAGAGCGACACTTGAGAGGCCATACATGCATCTGTATAGGGATGTAGGGACAGGTGCTAGAACACGGTTATGAATGTTGCAATTTGGGCCAGCAAATGCCCATTTGGTGAGAGCTGAGAGGTTTATCCAACATCAAATGTGACAAATTCCACATGCATTTCTCAAGTTCTCGAGGGGTTCTCAGGAAACATACGTTGCGACCATAAAGTGTATACGGAAGGGGAATGGAATATGTGTTGTATTCCAATGTATAATGTACATGAATATTTCGTCTACTTGCAGGGGCGTAGAACATCACACATCGCTGGACAAGCCGCGACTGCAGGCGAGAACAAAAACCTTAAGGAGTTTACCTTGAGAAAGGAGCACGCGAAGAATTCCATTGCGTCGACGCGGCGACGGCGTTGCTGTTGCTGTTGCTGCCCCTAGCAATTCTTTTGACCACAACAAATCTAGCACGCAAGGTGTTGTAGGAAGGCGCTCCTAGCCTTAAGAGTCTTAAGAGAGCCTTCTCCTTCGCGGCGAACATGAACGAAGAGAACGACGATTACCTGGCCCACGAAGCCGCTGCCATGGCGGATGAGGAAAGGGATGTGGACGGTGGGGACGGTGATGGGGACGGGGACCTGGACGGAGATGGGGCTGGGCATGGGCATGGGCATGGGCATGGCCGCAGCGTCGCAGCTGCTAATAACGAGTCCGTGCTTGGCGGCCAAACAATGCCACAAATTAGTTCGAACGCACAGCTCGAGGGAAACGTTTCGCCAACACCGATACCGACCCAGACAACGACGTCCCGCTTTGATGATAATCTCCAGAATAATAATATTAGCAACAAGCACAGCGGCCACGGCAACATTAACAACAACCACAGCAGCGGCGGCGGTGGCGGCGGCAATCACCAGCAGAACGACTCCAGCCTCGGCGGCCTCGGCAGCCCCCTGAAGAGCCCCAAGCGTAACATCTCGTCCAGCTTCCGGATACAGAATGCCCCCTACGATGAGGACGAGGACCTAACGGCCGGCGACTTGCAGCCAGACATCGCCGGTGCATCTGCTGCAGCAGCTGGAAGTGGTCCTGGTGTTGGTGTTGGCAATCGGCACGTACCCGGCACGGACTACTGGCAGCCAAGGAACGGCGGCGGCTCAGTCCACGGCGGTGGAGTCCAGAGTGGTATCCAAAGCGGCCATCAGAGTCGGGCCCTCAGCCCGAGCTACCTGGACAACATGAGCGAGAACTCGGAGCAACCGCCTGTTGTGCCCCTGGTGCGGTCCAAGTCGCGGCCGGAGATCTCCAGTGCGGCGGCCTCCCGCTACTCCAATCTGTCCTACTGGAAGGCCCGGCGCGTGGTTTTCTACCGCAACGGGGACCCGTTCTTCCCGGGGGTGGAGCTGCGCTACAGACCCGGGCGCGATGTCACGTCGTTGGACAACCTTCTGGACAAGATATCGCCCAAGATGGATTTGCCGCGTGGGGCACGCTATGTCTTCTCCATGGACGGCGACCGGAAGTATCATCTGGACGAGCTGGAGGATGGCGCCTTCTATGTGGTCTCCTCGTTCAAGGCGTTCAAGGTGAGTCCCGACGCCCCCTTGAGTCCCGTGACAGATTCTCATTCTCATATTCTGCATTTTGCATTTTGCATTTTTCATTATTTTGAAGTTTAAGTGAAAGTTTTCACGTCAGCGCAAAAATCAATATAAATTTGAATATTTTGGTATAATTTTATATGGTTGTGCCACGGCTCCCACTCGCTGTGTGTGTGTGTGTGTGTAATACCTGGCCACATACGTATGTATGTATGTACATAAAACTATATACGAAGTTTTGGCGTTTTTCGCTGCTTCTTTTTTTTGCGGTCAGCTCTCACCCACTCACTCCCCCCCATCGCCGCTCAGGGTAAGGCAGGGTAACGGTCACTTGGCCTAAAAATCCGAGCCAGCGCTTGAGTTTTCTTCTTTGTTTTGGTCCGTCTTCCGTGGAGTGGGAGTGGGAGTTTCCAAGGGGTAGGAGCCACGCGGTTGCCACATTTTTGCATGCAAACACTTTCGCTTTCTCTCCATCCTTTCTTTTGTGTGCTCATTCTTGCCCCATGAGCGTGTGCACTGGTGTGCGTGTGTGTGTGTGTGTGTGTGTGTGAGAGCCTCTCACTTACATTGTTGGGCTGGATTGTGGGGATTTTAGCCCTAAAAATGTAACAATACCAACAATTAGCTAGAGCCGACGCCAACGCAGGAATTAGGTCTTACGTTGTACGCTCGAATGAGAGTGGGAGTGCCAAAGAAAGAAAGAGAGGGACAGAGAGAGAGAGCCAGAGTGAGACAGAGAGAGGCAGAGAGAAAGACTGGGCACTAAGAGAGCGGCTCATTTTAAGAGAAACAAGGGAGTGCCCCTGCTGAAGGACTGCCTTTGCCGTGGAAGCCCGATGACAGATCATTTTCGGGAAAGCTTTCACAAAAGTGATCCTTGCTTGATATCCTTTATATCAAAATCAGAGTTTATCTATCCGTACTCTGATTCCTGTGAAGATGAAGTTTTTGTTAACCGGTCTTCTCTTTCCGGAGATACTTTTCGACTTCCCCCCCCTTCCCACAATGCCTCCACGAGGCAGCTGACAGAGGAGGAATCTGCACAAATCACTCGCAGCATGCGGGCACAGCAATCAAGAGTCTGCCCATCCCACATCCGACATCCTACATGTCCCCAGAACATCTATTGAAAAAGTTTCCACCTTCCGTTTGAGAAACGCGAGCGAAGTGGAATGGGACTGAGACCAGTACCAGGACGGGGACTGCGACGGGCACAAAGAAGTAGCGTGAATTCAAGCAAGTCATAATCGATAACGACCAAAGTCAAAAGCCAGCGCCAGCTATGCGTATAATGCAGTCTGTGAGTGAGCCGGAGTCAAAGAATGCCAGCGCTCAAGACAAGGAGGCGGCAGCCAGCAAAAATCCCCCCATTGCCAGGTCCTCCTTTGAGTTCCAGCTGCACCTCCAGCTTTGACTCTGGCTCCGGCTCCAGCTCCGACTGTGGGTCCTGTGCCGACCACGGCACTGGGTGCGGGTGCAGGTTCGGGTGCGGCCACGTTTTTAGCTGCAACTCCGGATAAAACCCGCCCGGCAAAGGCAATTCCGCGCCTGGCCTGCGGCAGGCAAACAAAAGCACAGCATGCCACCTCCTGGCTGCCTCCGCTCTCATATGAAATCTAAACTTATGATGAAGGCGACCGTCCGACCTCCTGCAGAGCCGGCGGCACTCTCACCCGCTCTTGCATTCCCCAAGCCCCGCTTTGAGCAGTGTACAAAAGGCAACAAAGAACAATAGGGGGAGCAGGAGCAGGAGCGCCAGAGCCAGAGCTAGAGCCAGAGCCAGAGCCAGGCACATAGTACCATAGTATACTCGTATATACACATCAAATGGGAAAATGCATAGAAAATCACCCGCCACTTCGGGCTCTCTCACGCGAAAAAGGCCAATTTGGAAACTTGTGGCGTTTCACTTAGGGAAATTAAAAATGTATGCAAAAACGGAGAGAGAAAAGTGCGCAGAAGTTCACCCTGAAACGGCTTGGAGAGCTAGCTAATAATATAAATTAATTTCGCGGCCCAGCCACACCACACCACACCACACCACACTAAAAACTGTTTACAAAATCATTTATGATAATTTATTCATCAATCCCGGCTCGGCCCGCCCCGGACCGGCCCGGCCCTGCCCGGCACGCGGTACGACTCTCGCCGAGCCAGCCCAAAATTTGAATGATTTTGGGTGCAGCAAATTGCATTAACCTTGTCAAGCAGCGGCAAATAATTGCACTGGTAGCGTGGCACACTGAGTAGGTGGTTCGTGCTCGCGGCTTGCAATCAAAAATTTTTAGCTTCTGGCCATGCAAAGGTCGCCGAACAGTGGAGTGCGTAGTAGAGGGAGTAGACATCGTAAGAGAAAGGCTAATCCGATCGAAAAAACAAACAAAAAACATTACAGTAGATCCCTACATGGAATGGAATGTTGTTAAGAAATTGTTCGACGTTCCAACAGATCATTAAAGTCATAATCACGAAATACTCTAATGAAAAAAGTAACATATAGGAGGAGTAAATGTTTCTTTGGGGTTTTTGACCATCTTCAATCTTCTATCACTCTCTAGAATTGTTTTAATGTTGGCCAATGCAATTTGTAAATTTCTTTGATGACCTTAAATAAAATTCCATTTAGATGCGGCAACTGACCAATTTACCTTTAGACTGAGATATATATCATGTAATTTAGCTGCAACTGCTATGAATTGGCCCGAATTGGCCCGACCTGGCCGACAATGCCACTGTGCCATAAATACGCCTTAGAGGTGCAGCACGCCAATTATGAATGATGGCCACCGCTGCACCCCGAAAAAATGCTGGCCAAGAAAACGGACACGGACACGGACATGGACACGCAGAGCTGTTGGCTCTCCCATCCAGGGCTGGGTCGGTCAGAACCACAGCCCGTAAAGAAATTAAGATTTTTGGCACAAACGTGAGCGGCATGCCAAGAAAAGTAAAACCAAGAAGCCGAGAAGCCGAGACCAAGAAGAACAAAGGCACGCAAGGTCGGCAGCGTTGTAATTAACTGCATATAAAATGCGGGTCGGTCAGGCAGGTGCAGGGGCAGGGGCAGAGGCAGGGGCCTAGGGAGGGAGAGAGTGACCAGATTTCACGTCAATTATTTCCCCGCTTCGTGGCTGAGCAAAAGCAGGCGCCCAGCGCGCTGGGGAGGCGGCAAACTTATGGCCAAACAAGCTGCAGTGACATGTGAACAAGATTAAACCCAACAGACCCATACGGCACACCCTGGCATCCACACCTCGCCACAACCGGGCCAAAACTTCAGAACTCGCCTTTGGGCTATAAAGCGTTTGATAAATTTCGCTGCCATTTACGTGTTGCACGCGCCAGGGATGTGAAATGTGGATGAACCGGCAAGGGGCGGGGGAGGAGAGCCACGGCTGGATAGAGGCTGGTTGGCCGGTTGGCGTTGGCGTTGGCTGACTCTGCGCGGGCGGAAGGACGGAAGGGCGGAAGGGCTGAATGGCTGAAGGCAGAGGCAGCTGTCTCCGTTGACTGCACCTGACGACATAAATTGCGCATTTGCGTGTTCGTGATCCTTTTCACTTACAACGCCACGACAAAATCTCAGTTGCCTGCCCCTCTGCCTTCAATCCAGCGCCCCATCGTCCTTCGAGCGTTCACTTTCATAAAAGGTGCAGGCCATGCGTATGCGTAACATGTGCATGTGTGTACCTATATGTGTGTTTCTGGCATGTCTTCTGCCCAACTACGAGAACAGTTTGTACCCATTGTATTTGAATATTTCCACTGATCTAATGTTGTGGATATGAATGATCTGAAGAGACCTTGGCATTGCTCTCAATCCCTGATGTCACGAATTCTATTTTAACCTGATGTAAATCGTGGATCGAAAAGCGCTTTCCTAAATTTCTGCATTAGTTTTGGTTATCTTTTGGATGATATTGATAGTTGAAAAATGCTCTTCTACTTAGTTATCCATGAGATACCATCCCCAGAAAGATAGGATTATGTAGGCAGAAGTCCATCCAGCCCCATAGTCCATCATATCCCACTCTCGAGAGCTCCTCTTGTTTGCTGCTGCTGCTGCAATGATTTTTTAATTGCTCGACACAAATATAAACAGAGACTGGCCATTTTTTCGCGTCTGACTCATAGCTGGGATATGCTCGCGTACGAGTATTCGTCTCTTTCGGCTCCATTGTGTGTGGGCTGATTTTAATGATTTTCTGACTACGTCATCAGAGAGCCATGCTTGATTTACATTTTTGAGTTGAGTTGAGTTGTCTGTCGTTGTCGCTGTCGCTCCCGCTCCCTTCCCACTGCATTAAGTGTGCTGATTGAATTGACAGTTGGTACACGTAACTTCTGCAGCGGCAGGACCTGTATCACGAGCACCGGGAACACCGGGAGCACCAGGAGCGGAGGCAATGGTCACGAGATTTTTACCGTTTAATTGCCGCCTTTCATCGCATCCTTAATTCGTTGTCCAGAATTGCTTTTGTTTCTTTCTTTTTTTTGCCGTAATGTTGTTTGCCAATCAGGTCGTATGAAAAGGCCCCGAAATAATTGGTTCGGTCTGTGGCCGTCGATAGATTCGATTTCTGAAAAATTGTATTACTTTAATTAAATGGCTTTCTGGCTATAAAACAATGAGCAATTTGTGTCGGGCCTTCGAGATAAATGGAAGTCAAGCTCAGCTTGTGTCACAAAATGGTTCGAAAATATACATTTGATTTATTCATTCCCGTTCAAAATTCTACCCTGAACCGTATACAATACCTATTTGATCTAGCTTTTGTAATTTAGAACCGATACGCCATTTAACATTTCTCGTAAACAAAATTTAAACACGAATTCACTGCATTAAAGTGCTGCACTCTTTAAAGCATTAAAGTGTTTAATAACTTGTAAATTAATCTTAACTTAAGGCCTCGTAGCGATATCGAATATTTTACAGTGCAGCCGAGCCGAATAAAAATAAATAAATTATTTTTAAATCATGGAAA